GATACAATTATCACTGGGAATCCGAAGCAGAGTCAAGAGTGTTCATCCTTGTTAATGTGACAGTCAGAATTTCCTCGTAATCAATTCACACAAGATTCTTAGAATATATGAATCGGCATAATTCTGCTTAGAATAATGTTCCAGAGAAGTGACAAAGTACTTCGTAGCTGCAGATTAAATGAGTGTACATGTCTACAAACGGATTCTTTGTGAGAAAATGTTCAACTTCACAAATCATTCTATTTTCAGTTTGTAAACCATGGCAAACATGTGTCCGACGTCGACTCGAAGGGGCACACTAAAAACGGGATATACTAGAGACCTGATATTTACCTGACGTTTTAATTTTTAATTAAATGGTAATATTGAGTATTTTAAATTACTTATTTACAGACTTTATGACTTCGAGGCATATGCTATACAAAAATTCAATTGTTTGGAACATTAACAGACAAATTTGAATCAGGTCAAATCAGTGTTTAGTACATCGCGTCTTTAGTACCTTCCTATTTCCCACAATGCCGCGCGTTGTTTACAAACAAGCGCGAAAAAATCCTCTAAACTAGGTACTAATTATTGTTGTGTACATCATCACATTTTAAAAGTATTTGAATAAAAAGAAAACAAAGAAACACCGAATCAAAACTATATCTTTTAGATGCATCAACTAAAAATGTGCACATGTATGCACAGGTGCCTGAGGACAGGACCCCCCCCCCCCCCCCCCCCCCCCATTATAGACCCTCGGGCCTTTTCGATTTTTTTTTTCTTAAACTATCCTTAAGTAACATATTTGTGATGTAATCCATACCATCAAACCGAAAAATTACGAAAAACAAACAGTTTATAAAAATTCGTATCCCACTATATATATAAAAATAACAAGGTTGCCAACTTCGTCTGTCATCCGAGAGGCACTGCCTAGGATTTTTTTTTAAAAAGTCCTATAAAACGGTACTTACCACTAAAACGGTGATATCACGCCGTGTCCTGAATATTTCCCTCACTGAAATTCTACATGTCACAATAATATACGTTTATTTACTGGGTCAAATGGCAACTTTTTCACCGACAACTTATCGGATTTTGAACTGCTCATACCTTAATGAACGGAAGTGAAAAAATCACGCCACCTATCGCAAGGAAGATAACTCTCCTGCTTAACTGAGAAGTTCCGAATGTACATAGAAACAATGAAAAGGTAAGAGAATTACGAAATGTGTAAACAAAAAGTCCGCGAAAATAGCTTTGTACAATAATAACAATGTTTGACGAAGACCAGGAATTGGCATTCCGTTTATCAAATGGCCATAATTTAATTATAAGTGGCCAGGCAGGTACAGGAAAGACATATCTTATTAAGAACATTGTTAGAAAATATAGAAAAGAAAGAAATGTCGCCATCGTGTGTTCCACGGGCATAGCAGCCACTCATTATGGTGACCTGGGGGCTATCACTCTACACAAGTGGTCGGGAATCGAGGATGGGAGGCATGTCACAGAGGAACTTATCCACCTTGTTCTGTCAGATGAACGTTTTGTTAAAGTTAAAAATAACATTGAAACCACAGAACTTCTTGTTATTGACGAAATATCCATGATAAGTGCCAAAACGTTTAATCAATTAGAAATGCTATGTAGAAATATAAGAAACAATGACCGTTATTTTGGGGGAATGCAAGTTATTCTTGCTGGTGACTTTTATCAGTTACCCCCAGTCGCTAATGAAATTATTGGTGATCCAGGTAACCACTGTTATAAATTACCATGGTTTAATAACTGCTTCCCACATAAAGTGAAATTAAACATTATACATAGACAGAGTGACCCTACTCTTATCAAATGTATAAATGAGCTAGAGATAGGAGATCCGTCTGATGAAAGTGTAGCTTTTCTGAAGTCTTTAGACCGACCACTTCCCAATGAGGAAGAGTGTACTCATCTCTTTGCCCGCAATTATGATGTAGACATTTTCAATTATAACAAATTACAAAATTTACCAGGAGAACTCAAACTGTACAAAGCAACAGATGAAGGATCCAACCACTATTTAAGCAAATTCCTAGCACCCAAAAATTTAGGACTTAAAGTTGGTTGTCCAGTGATGCTTGTCAGAAATTTAAGTGATTCTTTAGTGAATGGCTTATGTGGCACTGTCGTTCAACTCATGTCTGACTCTGTTGATGTGAAATTTGTTTTTGAAAAAAGAAACACTATTGTGACTGTTAAGCCAGTGGTTTTTACAACTTTTGATCCAGTGGATAAGATTACCATAGCAAAAAGAACTCAATTACCATTGAAATTAGCATATGCAATGACTGTGCATAAAGCACAAGGAATGACCTTGAAGAATGTTGTCATTAATTGTGAAAACTGTTATCAGCCAGGGCAAATTGGTGTTGCTGTAGGACGAGCACAGGATGTTGAGGGTCTACGAGTGATAAATTTCAAAAAAACATTATGTCGCAAGCATCCACTCCATGTTACAAAGCTTTATGAAAATTTTACCATAGGCAATGTGCAAAATGATTTGTCTTGCTGTAGGGGAATTAGAAGTGAAGAAACTCAAGACTCTGATGATGATGATGGTGATGATGATGATTTCGACCTTTCAGAAAATAGAAGTATTGATGCAAATTTTGACTCTGACTCTGATTTTTCAGATAGTGAAATTGAGAAATTGGAAATTTTAGACTCTCTTATTGAACAACAAATTATTACTGGAGAGGAGTCATCATCAAATGCAAAGGCAGCCCTAGATTCCGCTTTTTCTGAATTTGTTGGAACGCCTTTGGAAAATGAGATGTTTTCCTTTAAACAAAGAATTCTAGAAAATTTCCAAATCTATCATGATTGGTACCAATTGCAGTCCTCAGTCATTGAAGACATAGGTTTGATGTGTCTACCTGAAGGTGAAAAAACATACTCTGCCAAACAGCAAAATGATTTTTTTGTTAAATTTAATAAATACTTAAGTTCTGATGACTACAGAGACAGCGTAATATCAATGCTTAATATTTATTCAATAACAGACAGTGGACCACAGTTTCAGTTTCTGACAACACTTGTATTTTATCTGGAGAGAAAGTTCTTTGAAGATTTATCAGGGCATCTCAATCTTCAAGATCCTGAATCTATCAAGAGCACTTCAATGTCAGCAGAAGAACTGCCAGCACCTGCAAGAGGGAAAATAAGGTACATTAGTGGATACGTTATAGCAAAACTGAAACACAACTTGTCATTGAAAACAAGAAATTCATTATTTGCGGAGAGAGACAATTCTAAAATATTAGAACTTCAAAGTCAAATGAACATTTTAAATTCATTGTGTATTTCATATGATGAGTTGAAGGATTCGACCAAAGATGTTGGAAGTTTACAAGAAACTAAGAGAAAACAAAATGTAAGAGAAAGTCTTACAAACTTGACTGATCCTGGTTTTGATTTTTTCATGAAACTTGAAACTTTGTGCAGGGAAAAATTGACACACATCAATCTTGTTTATCATGGGAAAAGCCTATTCAACATTGTTATAGATGAACTTAACAAAAACACTGAACTGTTTGAAGTATGGATTGACACTTTAAATAAAAATTATGTTGTTCCATCTGGTGATGAAGAAAACATTGAAAGTATCTTACACTCAATTGTAACTTCTTGTGGAAACTTCATAGAACTCTATCATTCAGTGATTCAGTTATTCTTGAAGGTGGCGTTCAGTCAATTTCGGAGAGACTATCTGTCCTTCCTAAAAAAAGAAAAGGGTAAGGCTCTTCGAAAAAAAGTTGTAGAGAAGAAGTCCAGAAAACCTGTAAAGACATTTAATATGCAGTTTCTATTGGAGGACAAGTCAAAGGACAGAATTAGCTCACACTTGCGGCTAAAATCTGAAGTGGTAATGAATGAAAAATTCCTTTTATCTTTCACGAAAAAGGATTTACTTCTTCTATGCCAAATGTATGAAATTAAGATTTCATCTCAAAAGAAAAAAGAAGATATAACTTTAAATCTTAACAGAGTGATCTTAAACTGTGATTCCATACCTTGTCCAAACAAACTTCCGTCAGATGCATCTTCACGTTCTGTGCCTGAAGTTGAAGATATTCCAGGACCGAGTGGATACGTCCCCCCACAGCCTCCCCCAGCTCCTGTCAGTGTTACTTCTGATTCTTTGCCTTCAGGACTCCCACCTACAAAAATTTCCACAGAATGTCAATCAAGGAAGGGAAAAGGGAAAGGTAAAGGAAAGGGAAAGGGTAAAGGAAAGGGAAAAGGTAAAGGAAGCATCAAGAAGAAGACTCCAGCAGCTAATGTAGATGATCAAGATGAGGACTGCGCAGTATGTAATGGACATTATGTTGACGGTGAGGACTGGATAAGCTGTGATACTTGTAATTTGTGGTACCACAGGAATTGTGCGAATTTACAGGATGAGGAGGAATGGTCTAGTATCAGTCAGCCTGAGGGGATCTATATTTGCCCGCTATGCCAATAAGATGGGTATGTACACTTGTTTGCATGTTTCAATTCATTAATACATGTATGAATTTGATCCTTTTTAAATTATTTTATATGGTTTCAGATATTTGTAATGTACTAAGTTTTTTTCTGTAACTTTTAAATTACATGTAATTTGCCCTTAATGACCTATTCTGTAATTATTCCAATTGTTTGCATCCAAAAAAGTGTACTCTATTTTATTAAAAGTCAAAGTTTTTAATGACAGTAATAACTAATTATTTTGTTGCTGTAATATATCTTTCAAGATTAAAAACTACTTATAAAGTGATTATCTATATGTATTGCATTTAACATATTAAGGAGTGGATTCTCATAGAATATAATTGTTCATCAATAAAAAAAACATGTTTTCTCCAAAAAATATATTATTTTATTTGATTTATATGTTGTCTTACAGGTATATTCCATACCTTTGGTTTAGCATCATGCTGTACTGGTAATTGTGCTCCTTCACCACCACCTACATTGGATTTTCGAGATATCGAAGCTTGCCCAAGAATTACTGAATTAACTGAATGACAATAACCTAGGTAGGTTGGATTAGTATTGGCCCCGTTGTGTAATGTTCTCTGCTGACAGAACATGTTCTCTATCACATCACTGTTGACGCGACTAGGGATGATGGATGCATTGCAAGATTTTAATTTGTACACACACAACTCTTCAAACCCCATAATTGAAGAAATTATATCTTCCCTTGTCTGGTGAGATATGAGATGTTTTTCCTTGTTTTTAATCAATTTATCCTGTTTGATTGTCTGTTCCCACTCAATGAACCATTGCAGTGCATCCTTGTTTTCCTTTAGTCTGTCATCACTGACATCAGTAATTGGTCTAGAGTCTCTGAAGTTCCTTATTAGTGCACTAGTATGGGTCAACATTTCTATTGTTCCATCGAGCTTGTGCCCAGCATCACCTAGACTCTCACGATATAGTTTCATCAAATGCAACATCTCACCGTTTAACACATCTTCAGCTAAATGATTCCTCATTTTACTTTCTGACGTTAAGTAGATATGTTCCTGTGCGAGTTTGTGATGGATAGGAAATGGATTTGTAGAAATATCCCACAGATATGCATCTTTGAAGTGATCCCATTCAATAAATTTGTCCTTGTATTTTAAATGTCTTTTACAGAATCCAGATTTACCACTTTTCGATACATTGTTTCTAATTTTTTTCAACACATGTGAAATGTCCATGATGAAGAATAACTTCTGATTTTCATTCCGAGAGAAAATGTTTTTGAACGAACATGTAATTGGATTTGAAGTATCGAAATTTGGTATCAATATTTTGTACAAGTCTCTATTGCTTTGGGCACCATCTGTACTGATATATTGAATTGTGAACCCATAGGCTGAAAGCATGTTTACAGATTTCCATACAAGTAAATAAAGTTCATGACCTGATGCAGTATGAGATGGAAAATGGGCAAAAGGGAAGCGAAAACCTGTGAAACCTAAAAATACCAATTGCAAAACATGAGTAGCTAGAGTTTTTTCTCTTTTGCCATTTTTCATTTGGTCAAATACTATGGACTCTGGCGTACATTCAGTAAATCCAATTAATTCGATTTCATTATTTCGTTTACGAAATTGTAAATCTGGTTGTATAGACATTTCATCAATTATTAGGCCGCCTTCGTATCCTGCAGGGGGAATATTCTTTAATTTGGCTTCGTTAGCCATCCATTCAAGCATATCGTTTTTAATCCCACCCTCTTGGTGAACAGAGTTCTTGTACTTTCTTAATAAATTCTGAGAGGGTAATTTCAGAAAATTACTGTTTCTCAATTCACTATAACCCCTTGGACTTCTGCAATACAAAGTCAAACACAGCCTTACAATTTCTTTACTCCATCTTCTGCCATTTGGGTTTCGCTCTAAAGCCATTTTTTGGTTCATTAGAAATGTTTGCATTTTCAAGGAACATTCAGGAAAAATTGTTTTGAAAATTGCACTCAAATCATCATGATCAGTTTTTTGCAATATAATCTCATCATTTTCTGTAACTTGTTCTTTGAGTGTAATGTTTTCATCAGAATTTTGGGCCTCACTTTCAGATTTATTCATTTTTGGCTTCTTTTTCAATTTTTTACAGTTTTTACAAGTTGAATATGATGATGCATTTGATGTGCTAAATGGCAGAACTTTGAAACAGTTTCTGGACCTGAATTGAATAATTTCACTATTCTCATCACCAACACTACAAATATGTTCCTGAAAATGGGGTAATTCTTTTCTTTCAATTTTACTCACACCTCTGCAGTATTGAAAATGTCCAATGATTTTAAATAAAGATTTCACAGACTGAGAAGTTGGTAAAAAGTGATGTTGTAAACCTAAATTTTCAGGGTCAATTTTTTTCCCCATCATATTAAGTGAATATTTTCCATCTGACTGTAAATCAATTTCAATCATGGATTTCCTTCCATTTATAATTTCTCCAGTAAAGTGTCCAATTTTTATTTCTTTCAAATTGTTTGTAATCACAAAAAATTCTGGTGGTAATAATGAGGGAATATTTATAAACTCTATTTCAGATTGAGTGGCAGGCTCCATGTTCCATGTAACACCGTAATATCTCATTTTTAATTTGGACCAGTCTTCTGTGGAGCGAATTCTTTTAAATGTGACATTTTTAAATGTTTTTTTAATTACATTACCAATTGCTCTACTGGTTACATCGGATTCATATTTGTTTTTGATGTCCTCTGTGTCAATATATTGACTTTGATTGCCTTCTACTAAATTTTCTAGTACCCAAGATGATAAAGAAATCTTGCTATTCATCCCGGATTGATGTAAAGTCTTATTTCTTAAATTTATACTTTTTTCGATTTTGTAAATATGCGCCAAATTAAACATTTCGTAATTCTCTTACCTTTTCATTGTTTCTATGTACATTCGGAACTTCTCAGTTAAGCAGGAGAGTTATCTTCCTTGCGATAGGTGGCGTGATTTTTTCACTTCCGTTCATTAAGGTATGAGCAGTTCAAAATCCGATAAGTTGTCGGTGAAAAAGTTGCCATTTGACCCAGTAAATAAACGTATATTATTGTGACATGTAGAATTTCAGTGAGGGAAATATTCAGGACACGGCGTGATATCACCGTTTTAGTGGTAAGTACCGTTTTATAGGACTTTTTAAAAAAAAATCCTAGGCAGTGCCTCTCGGATGACAGACGAAGTTGGCAACCTTGTTATTTTTATATATAGTGGGATACGAATTTTTATAAACTGTTTGTTTTTCGTAATTTTTCGGTTTGATGGTATGGATTACATCACAAATATGTTACTTAAGGATAGTTTAAGAAAAAAAAATCGAAAAGGCCCGAGGGTCTATAATGGGGGGGGGGGGGTCCTGTCCTCAAGCACCTGTGCATGTATGCAGTAAAGGCTTGGCTGGCTATAGTAGACAGCTTGTTCCTGAAAGGTTTCTCACATACATGTACTTGTTTTATAAAAAAAACAATTAAATATAGCTTGAAGTTTATTTCTTTTTATATCAAATGACAAGATTTTATAAGTTCGAAATTATTTCAGTCAAACTTTTTCATAATATACCAATATTTTTAGCTATCAGAAAAAAAGCGTGTATGAGCTATTAACCCCTAATTATAGGGGCCAGCCCCTTTTCGTTAATCAAATATGAAAGCTCTCGTAATTACCCACAACTTTTGTGATATATTTCTTACCAAATTATTCTCGGTTTAAAAGTTATTACACAAAAAGTAGCAAAAATTCAAAGAAAAAAAATTACTAAAATTTGCCGTTTTATAGCTTCCAAACTTTAAGAAATCAGCTATATAATTTTATCGTTGTGCACATCTACAATGTATTGGCTACAAGTTCTCCAACTTTCGTGTAAATATCTTATGTCATTTTTGAGATTTTCAGTGGAAACGAGACATCAAAAATTTTCAATTAAAGGGCAATAACTCATAATTAAAGGCATGCATAAAAAAACTGAAAACAGGTTTAAATAGGTTTAACTACAAGCTATCTATCCTGAAAGTTTCATAACGATCAGTCCAAAGGTCTTTGAGAAATCGCCTGTCAAAAGTCGAGCGGGAAAAAAAAAAAGAATAATAAGAAACAATAGAATAACAGTAGGGTCTTCCGAAGGAAGCGGAAGACCCTAACTAGAGCAAAGCTCGTTGCAAAGCAATGAGTGGGTCTTCCTTCCTAGCGATAAGCAAATGATTCAATGTTTCTGTCTAGATTGTCAACTTTGCTAACATTCTCTTTTTCGATTTGTCTCAAAAACCCTTACTTGAATTCTTTAATTTGGTGTGAGCATGAGGTCTAAAGGGTACTCTCTCTAACAGCATTCTTGAAATCGTATCCACAACAGTTTAACTTCCAATATTATGACTTTTGATATCGGATATATCATGTTTGTTGCAATTATGTTTGTGAAACGTGTCATACTACAGAAACATAAGTGTTTTGCTACATTACCATCTTAAAAATGGCTTTAAAATCATTTAATATACAATATAACTAGGTAAATAAAATAAACAAATTATATAATAATTCAAAAAATCCAAATGTATTTACAATAATGATGAACAATCTTCATTAGTTGCAATCAGTAAGTAGAACAATACTTTTATAATAAACGCACAGAAATGTGTTGTGTATGTTTCGAATTTGAAGCTTTCCACCAGCAACTGGTGGTACCTCAATAGGAGTGTAAAATTCTCTGAAAGGTATATTGTGAACATATTACATATGGCTGTGTATTCTTTTTTAGCGGCTTTGGCGGAATGCAGCCATCACTAAATCAAGTACAAAGCTAAAAGTCTTGTACATAAACATAAATAAGAATATCTACGCTAACTTATTCAAAAGTCAATTTCCACCAAATATTGTACAAGCTAAATATAATACATTTACAGCATTAAAGAAACAAATCTCTTTGAAGGTATTGCCCTGCATAAGAACAATTTGAATCCCCTACACTAAGGATGCTCTGTGCCAAGTTTCACTTTGGTTCTGGAAAATGATATTGTGAAATTTCAGACAATGATGATAATGGATAAAATTATGTTTTTAAAAAATTTACTGGTTCCTTTAGCTCAGATGGGCTAATAAGTATGCAAAAGGCACAGTTTTGGAGTTGACATTGAAATGCGACTGGACATCTCTTCAATCTTGTTTTAGAAAACTACATGTACATGCCCTATGTACTGAATTCCTTGGAATCATACACATGTTTATGCCTTTAATTAGTTGTATGTGCCAAAATAACAATTTTTTTTACATTATACTGTAAAAAATACACATACATGTATTACAAGATCTTATATTCCTGCTGAAGACAGAGGATCTATCTTAATCATTAGAATAAGTAAGTCTAAACTTTGAAAGGGAAGACCTTAATAAAGAGGTCAACATGCTACACAAACAAAATATTATTATATTTAAAAATAACATTTATTCCAATGTAATTACTGGTACATGTATTTCTGTTACAAAAACTATTTCACTTGAAAGACTGAGAGCAATTGATATGTTCATATTTGTGGATTTATGTTGTCAAATCAAAATTTAAAAATGATACACAGTGTGTTTAAAAATTGTCTTCACAAACCAAAACTTGACTTATTTTCACTATGCTGTTTATTCCATGTCACATCCAAACAGTTGATCTTCTGGCAAATCATGGTCATGTTTGGTATCAAAATTCAGTATTCAGATGAGTCACACCTATCCAAAAGAAATTGAAATTTTTTAATTTATAATTCTTTTACTAATAAAAAGTGCAATTCATGAGATTATAAATTAGATTATCAAATTGAGAGATAAGATATTGTCACATTTTCTGTGTATAATTTGTAAATTTTAATGTACTCTTTCATCAATTAAAAGAAGTTTACACCAATTAAGGCAGTCATTTATGCTATCCCCTAATAAGACAACATACAAGTGCAAAGTAATCATGCACTAGTGGGTTTAGGATAATGTGCTAGAGTATTTATGACAACATACTAGCACGAGGTGACAATGTGCTAGCATGTACGTCAGTGATAATATGCCAGCACACTGAATCCAACAGGCAGTGAAGCTAACACTCAACAGATTGTTTAAAGTTGTGTTTGCATGATATTTTGTTTTGTGTTAACACAGCAGCGTGTTGTTTAAAGCTGCATTGGAGTGGCAGTCTGTTGAAATTAACATGCTAACACACTGCAACTTCACATCATTGGAACACCATAATTTTAAAACTGACAAACCAATATCTTATGATTACTAACTAGGTAATTGCAACTGTAAATGCTGATTTCATGGTGACAATAATACCGGTAATTGACTGTATATCTGAGAACTGATCAATTATAATAAGGCGTGTCCAGATAGGGCCACTTGCTAAAGCTCAATAGCACTTTCATAAAAGCGTGCCATCTTACCGACACAAAAGACGCCATTAGGCTATCAAACAGCTTGCCATCACAACACTGAAAAACACTTTCGCACTAACACAAGTTCGCACCACACGCTGTCACACTAACACACAACACACTGTCACGCTAATACAATTTCACACAACAAAATATCAGGCTAACACGAGTTCACACAACACACTATCATGCTAACACGAATTCACAAACACGCTGTCTCGCTAACACAAGTTCACACAACACGCTGTCTCGCTAACACAAGTTTTACACAACACGCAGTCTCGCTAATACGAGTTCATACAACACACTGTCTAGCTAACACAAGTACACGCAACACACTGTCACGCTTAGATGAATTCACACAACACACTGTCACGCTAACATGAGTTTACACAACACGCAGCCTCACTAACACGCGTTTACACAATACACTGTCACGCTAACACGAGTTTACACAATACACTGTCACGCTAACACAAAGTCACAAAACAGGCTGTCTCACTATTCACTAACACAAGTTCGCACCAAATGCTGTTGCGATAACACACTGTCATCCTAATACCATTTCACACATCACACTGTCATTCTAATACCATTTCACACAACACACTGTCAGGCTAACACGAGTTCACACAACACACTGTCACGCTAACACGAATTCTCAAAACAGGCTGTCTCACTATTCACTAACACAAGTTCGCACCAAACGCTGTTGCGATAACACACTGTCATCCTAATACCATTTCACACAACACACTGTCATCCTAATACCATTTCACACAACACACTGTCAGGCTAACACGAGTTCACACAACACACTGTTACGCTAACACAAATTCAAAAAACATGCAATATCGCTAACACGAGTTCACATAACACGCAGTCTGGCTAACACGAGTTCACACAATATGCAATCTGGCTAACACGAGTTCACACAACACACTATCTCTCTAACACCAGTTCACACGACAAATTTTCAGGATAACAAGTTCACACAACACACTGTCACGCTAACATGAATTCACACAACATGCTGTCTCGTTAATAAGAATACACACAACACGCTGTCTCGCTAACATGAGTTTACACAACAGGCAGTTTCGCTAACACGAGTTTACACAACACGAAGTCTCACTAACACCAGTTTACACAACACGAAGTCTGGCTAATACAAGTTCAATCAACACTCTGTCTAGCTAACATGAGTTTACACAACACACTGTCACACTTACACTTTATACACGATTTTACACAACACGCTGTCCCGCTAACACGAGTTTACGCAACACATTGTCAAGCTAACAAGAATTCACACAACCCACTGTCAGGCTAACACAATTAAGTTCACAAAACACACTGCCTTGCTAACACAAATTCATACAACACACTGTCTCGCTAACACAAGTTCACACAACACACTCACATTGCTGAGTTTAAAGTAAAGGTCTACCCTAATTTGAAGTGGTTTAAAACTAACATATCTCTATATTAGTAAAAAGCTTCAAATTTAAGACAAAAACATTTATGCAGTAATGTTCCTTAACATGCATCTGGCATATAAAATGAATGAGACCTTAAAAACCTCACAGTACATGTTTACTAAGCTAATTAAAGGTCTAAATTGATGCTATTCAACAAAATATATCAACATCTCTAAGTATGTGAATGAGTGAAATTCTCAAATAAATATTATAAATCAAAGTATCAATAAGAAGCTGAACCTTACGTCGCAGGTTCCAATCCCATTGCTAAATGCTTTAGACAGGTTACTCCTATGAGACTGCATAAACCAAGATTCTGTGTCACGGTAGGTGTTAGCACAAAATGGATCTCATACTTCTTAAAGGCAATAAGTGCTGAGTACAAGTCTATATTTGCAGCTAATACCATCCCAAGTGGTGGCACCATGAAATGACTGAAAAATGTATGATTAAGGCAAATAAACAAACATTTAACCATTACAGCAGTCTTATCAAACAAAAAAAGCAAACTTTCTATTATTACAATTTTTTTAAGCAAATTTCTTTTGCAATTTAACTGAGCAATATTTGTTCTTTTTTTGTCAGTAAAGTATGATATTAAATAATTAAGACTTTTTGAGAACATCTATTTATAGCGAGTCCAGACAGCAGCACAAATCCCTGCCCATAATGCGAGCTCTTATGATAAGACCTTGGCAAAAGAAGATTGTGACTTGCACATTGCTCCACACAATTTTTCCGCAGTATACTTTGGACACACAGTGCTTAGCTTCTTTAACATGTTTAAGCTACATTCAAAATTCATTTCTATTTAATTTGAATTAGCTATCCTTACTCATGTTCATGTGGAGCTAATGGGAAGTAATTTAACGAGCAGTGAATTCATTCGAATTAAACATTTGAATAAACTTTCAGTGTGAACATTGAGCATGGATGCACCAAATGTCAAATGCGGCTTGACAAGCACAATCTAAATTAAAACTAAATAAGTATCTGCCCTCACCCTTACAGTCACACTGTCAATATATAATTAGTTGAATATATTCTGTAACATTAAGTGCAGTTTGAATTATAGAGTATGATCACTATGATAGATAGTAGGACTGTTGAAATTACATCCTCAAATTTAAAAAAAATAAAATATAAAGCTGTGGGGATTTACAAGGCAAACAGAGAGCGTCTGAACTGTAAAACAGATAATATATCGGTGTGTCTGTGTATTTCTAATAACATCCATGTACGTCACTGTCATGTAATCAGTAGTGTAAATTTTAAGTAATAAAAATATTCTAACCTTCATTCCAATGGTCCAAGCCAATCATACATTAAAATGTCGCCGTCAGCTCTTTCATCACTCGATACAATTATCACTGGGGAATCCGAAGCAGAGTCAAGAGTGTTCATCCTTGTTAATGTGACAGTCAGAATTTCCTCGTAAACAATTCACACAAGATTCTTAGAATATATGAATCGGGATAATTCTGCTTAGAATAATGTTCCAGAGAAGTGACAAAGTACTTCGTAGCTCCAGATTAAATGAGTGTGCATGTCTACAAACGGATTCTTTGTGAGAAAATGTTCAACTTCACAAATCATTCTATTTTCAGTTTGTAAACCATGACAATGTGTCCGACGTCGACTCGAAGGGGCACACTAAAACAGGGATATACTAGAGACCTGATATTTACCTGACGTTTTAATTTTTAATTAAATGGTAATATTGAGTATTTTAAATTACTTATGTACAGACTTTATGACTTCGAGGCATATGCTATACAAAAATTCAATTGTTTGGAACATTTACAGACAAATTTGAATCAGGTCAAATAAGTGTTTAGTACATCGCGTCTTTAGTACCTTCCTATTTCCCACAATGCCGCGCGTTGTTTACAAACAAGCGCGAAAAAATCCTCTAAACTAGGTACTAATTATTGTTGTGTACATCATCACATTTTAAAATTATTTGAATAAAAAGAAAACAAAGAAACACCGAATCAAAACTATATCTTTTAGATGCATCAACTAAAAATGTGCACATGTATGCAGTAAAGGCTTGGCTGGCTATAGTAGATAACTTGTTCCTGAAAGGTTTCTCACATACATGTACTTGTTTTATATAAAAAACAATTAAATATAGCTGGAAGTTTATTTCTTTTTATATCAAATGACAAGATTTTATAAGTTCGAAATTATTTCAGTCAAACTTTTTCATAATATACCAATATTTTTAGCTATCAGAAAAAAACGTGTATGAGCTATTAACCCCTAATTATAGGGGCCAGCCCCTTTTCATTAATCTAATATGAAAGCTCTCGTAATTACACACAACTTTTGTTATATATTTCTTACCAAATTATTCTCGGTTCAAAAGTTATTACACAAAAAGTAGCAAAAATTCAAGAAAAAAAATTACTAAAATTTGCCGTTTTATAGCTTCCAAACTTTAGAAAATCAGCTTATAATTTTATCGTTGTGCACATCTACAATGTATTGGCTACAAGTTCTCCAACTTTCGTGTAAATATCTTACGTCGTTCTTGAGATTTTTAGTGGAAACGAGACATCAAAATTATCAATTAAAGGGCAATAACTCACAATTAAAGGCATGCATCAAAAAATTGAAAACAGGTGTAAATAGGTTTAATTACAAGGTATCTAACCTGAAAGTTTCATAAAAATCAGTCCAAAGGTCTTTGAGAAATCGCCTGTCAAAAATCGAGCGGGAAAAAAAATAAAATAATAATAAGAAACAGTAGAATAACAGTAGGGTCTTCCGAAGGAAGCGGAAGACCCTAATAATCTTAATCATCAGAATCAGTAGAAGGTCTTCCGTTGGAAACGGAAGACCTTAATAATCTTAATCTTCAGAATCAGTAGAAGGTCTTCCGTTGGAAACGGAAGACCTTAACTAGAGCCGAGCTCGTTGCAAAGCAACGAGTAGGTCTTCCGTTGGAGCTGTGGGCAGGAAGTACAGACCTTGGGTCAAGGTCACTGCACTTTCTTATGTCAACAACATTTCTTCCCAGCATGAGCCTCCAGTAAATTTTAATTATTAAGTTATGCTTAAACATTTTTTTCTTTGTCAGTGACCTTGATTTGCCAGAAAGACATTTGATCAGGGTCATGACAAAACCTCCAATTATAAGTGATGTATGTTTCAAGTAAGAGCCTCCAATGATTTTCATTTACTAATTCATAACGTAGTAAAGAAAATATTTCTTCTGTCAGTGACATTGATCTTAACAGAATAACCTTGGCTCTGTGTCAAGACAAAACACCTTTTAGTGATTAGAAGTTCATATCCCTGACAGGAATTTTACAACTTTTCTGTCATTGGCCGATGAACATGTTTGAAATTTGCATTATCTCGCACCATTTTGTCACAGGTCAGAAAAACAACATTGAGGTATTTTAAAACATCACCGGATATTAATATTCGAACAACATGGAGTTTCTATTTATGAAAGATAGACGGGGTTGAAAGTCCTTTCCATAATACGTATTTTAGGGTAATAGCTTTACTTTCAATAAAAATAAACTCAAAAGTCCACAAATAAAATATCTTTCCTCATTTATTTCAAAGTTTGGGTAAAGGGGTGAGGAGCATGGGGATGTCATGATGTATACGTAATACATTCGAGGTTATTATTCTGTTAGACAGGAAGACCCATGGAGTTGTGATTTGCTGATCATGATCTATTTTAAAACACGTTGACAAACCGAAACCACATGGTTTTATACACGTTATTCAATCAATTTATTCATAATTATTTTCCATGAAGGAAGAAAGGATAAAAGATTAAAGAAAATTCCCGATGTACAATAGCATCCGTGCATGGACTTCATTTTAATACTACATAATGATATTGTGCTTGAAGTTGAATAAAATCATCAAATAAATTAAATTTAAATAGGAAAGGGAGATTATGTTTAATAGAATAAAAAATTAGACAATACTTGATACAGCGACTCGCTGGTAAAAAAACTTGAATGTACTTGCCTCTCACTCGTTTTCTCTCGTACGCGTATTTTTTTAAACCAAGGAAAGTAATTTGCGCTAGATATAAGTTCATCATTCTAAAGAAAATACTGTGTTAAATATGGTAAACGATACAAATGGTTTGACTTTGGTGCCGGTTGTGATTTTAACAGTAATTTTGTTTGTAAAAGCGTTTAACTACATGATAAGTCTGTAATATTCAGATAACATTGTTATCCCGGTATATAAGTTCTTAAATTTTCGATTCTGGACATATGCGGGTTTATTACTACTTGAATGTACATTGTATAACCTGCTACTGATATTTAATCACGGAACAAATTACATGTGAGCACACTATACTTATCATTTACACGGGGTTTGAATAAATTATAAAACAAATTAAGTTCATTGCTTTAAAATCATTATTTCTTGAACTTTACTATAAAACCTGTAATGTAAATTAATAAACAGTGTGCAGCACAGAAGTCACTTATGAAGTTTACACGTGTCAGTGTTACTTATCGATGTTTAGTCCATTTCATTGAGTATAATTCTATCCTTACGATTCGGAAGATTCTCTTTAAAAGTTTAAAATTGGTATAGCCATGGTTAATATCTGTGATAAAAAAAATGTATTTCGGAAAACTTGTGTTGAAAACGGATTTATTTGTGTGTGAAAAGAGCAAAGCTTGTGCATTTCAATAAATATTGGTTGAAGTAAAATAACTGCAGATCGCCAGTACTTGCGCTATGAATCGTCAAATTACACATGGATCTAACGAATATTTAAGAATTGAAGACTGATTAATGTACATGTTAAATAAATGTCCCAGCGTTATGTACTAAAGTCAAACCTAAAAAATTTTAAGATATTTTTGAAAGATTTAATTTACTTAGAGAAAATAATATTTTCTTACTGTTGTAGAATGGTTTGTATATACCAATTATTTGCCTATGACTGCGGGGTCAATGGTTCACCGCGGTGTGTCGCTTTAGAATTTCTCGGCAGCGTGTAATCGAAAGATAGATTACGTAATGGTAAACACACTTTAAAAAAAGAATCTTGGTTCCAGGTGAATATGAGAATCGCGCAGTAAATAATTGTGTATTATTTGACTCTTAAATTTTTTTTTATGAAATCCGGGCGTATATTGTTTCCGTTCATATTGTTTATGTTCATATTTAAACGAATAAAAGATACTCGTACTTTTTTCTATAACTCTTTCTCTTGGAAAGATCTTTATTAATAAAAGGAAAAAGATACCATCGAATACTCTGAAAGGGAAACAAAGAACACGTTTAAAACCTAATTTAAAAAAGAGATAAGATACAGCGTGGTAAAATATTTAATACTTACGGCAAGTTTATTTCAATTATACGCATGAAGAGTTCTTCAATATCAAAATGAGAACGGAGTTTCTTTACGGTTCATACGGATCTAGTTTTCTTTCCTACCATACGTAAGACTTGAACAAAATAATATTTTCATGGGACAGAGATAGCATAAAAAGGAACAATTTTATCAAGAATTAATTTAACCATTCTGTGGTGGGTTTTTTGTGTATGACTGTGGGTCGCTGGATCACAAACGATTGATTCCCGGTGACCGACTTTGCCCCGCCGCTATCGAGGGAGGCACGTTATATAATTGTAAACAAACAAGGTGAATGTTAAAGCCGTGCACTTAATGGCTGTGAATAGTATATGTGCTTTTTAGTTATGTTTTATTAAGGTCTTCCGTTTCCAACGGAAGACCTTCTACTGATTCTGTTGGTAAAGATTATTATTCTTTTTTTTTTCTTCTACTTCCTAGACGCCAACTTTGAGGCCTCATATTTCACTCATTTCTCAACGGATTTCGCTCAAATTTTCAGAGGTTATAGACGTTTATAAACTCTATCAGAATAATGACTAAAATTTTAAAAAGTCACTTCCGGTTTTGAGTTATTTTCCTTTAAACGAAAAAATTATAGGCTTACGTTTCCGGATAAAGGCTCAGAGACCACAAAAGCTGGAGGAGAAATTTGACTGGTTTTAGATAACAGAAGGATTGAAGTTGTGCACATCAGTTTTTGTTTTTCGATTTCTGCATTCAAAATGGCGCTATATAGGGGTCAAAAATTAGAACACCTAAAAGAGCGAAAATTTACATATATTTTCCTTTTTATCTTGAAAACTAAAAATTTTTTGTTAAGACATGTTGAATAAAAGTTGTGCATAATTGCAAGAGCTTTCATTTGATATAATTAAAAAGGGGCTGGCCCCTAAAATTAGGGGTCTAGTGCCCTTGAAAGTTTTTGCTATGTATCTCAAAAACGATTAATATTTCGAATGACTTTTGATAATAAAATTGTGATTTAACATCTTACTGATCTTATGAAATTGTTATTTTGTTCTAGTCTTGATTAAAATATGTACACGTAATTCTTTTCACTCAGCTCGTAAATGAAAGTTTCTCATGCGTGTATATAAAAAAAACTTCCTATAAAAAAAATCATGGCTACATTGGATGCTCATATTCTTTAGAATAAAGTTCTTGAAGTGTTTTGTGCTTTTTTTTTCCCAAATTGTCATGCTTATTTACTAAGCGCATGGCTTTACATTCACGTAGTTTGTTTACAATTATATAACGCGCCTCCCTCGATAACGTGGGGCAAAGTCGGTCACCGGGAATCAATCAGCGGGTAATCCAGCGACCCACAGTTATGCACAAATAAAAACACAGAATGGTTAAATTCATTTTTTAAATGTATTAAATTGTTGCTTAATACTATCTCTGTCCTATGAAAATATAATTTGTTCGAGTCTTGCGTAGTATAGGAAAGAAAGCTAGACGGTTCTCATCTTGCTATTGAAGGAAAACTCTTTAGTCTTTATGCGTAGAATTGCAGTAAACTTGCCATAAGTAATAAATATTTTACAACGCTGTATCATATCTCTTTTTTTTTAAATTAGGTTTTAAACGTGCTCCTGGGTTCCCGTTCAGAGTATTCAATGGCATCATTTTCATTTTATTAATCAAGATCTTTCCAAGAGAAAGAGTTATAGAAAAAGCACAAACTAGTATCTTTTCTTCGTTTAAATATGAACACAAACAATATGAACGAAAATGATAAACGCCCGGATCTAATAAAAAGAACTTTTAAAGAGTCAAATAATACAAAAATTATTTACCGCGCGATTCTCACATTCACCTGGAACCCAGATTTTTAGCGTGTGTACCATTGCGTAATCTTACGATTACACAAGTCCAAGAAAATCTAAAGCGACACACCGCGCTGAACCATTGACCCCGTAGTCATAGACAAATAATTGGTGTATTAAAACTATTTTATAATTAATGAAAAGTTATTATTGTCGGATATTTGAGATTAATATGTTGGCTTATCTCTGTTTTAAATTTGATCGTGATACATGTTTCTAGCTATCTAGGCTTTGTGTTTGTTTACAATTACGCCACCAATCATTCCTTCCATCGCTTGTTGACATTAATTTACACAGCGTGGTCAAATGTTAAATCTAATTTTACAAACTTACGGAAAACATTTTCTGAAAGTAAATCGAATCTTTCAAAAATATTTTTAAAATATCTAAGGTTAGACCACAGACCTATATATTAGTATATAGGTCCCTGGTAAGACTTAAGAACAAAACGCTGGGGTATTTATTTTATATGTACATTAATCAATCTTCAATTTTTATAGCTCGTTAGTTAATTGTGTAATTTTACTTTTCATTTTGACGATTCATAGTGTAAGGACTGGCGATCTGCGGTTACTTAACTTCAACCAATATTGATTTAAATGTACAAGCTTATATTTCTTTGTGCTTTTAACACACATATAAATCTGTTTACAACACAAATTTTTCCAAACACATTTTTTTTCACAGATTTTTACCATGGCTATTTCATTTTTAAACTTTTAAAGAAAATCTTCATAAGGATCTAATTAGAATTATACTCAATGAAATGGACTAAACATCGATACGTATCTCCGCACCTGTAAACTTCATAGGTGACTTCTGTGCTTGCACTATGCCCATTTTTATTACAGGTTGAATAATCAAGTTGAAAAAATAATTCAAGATTTTAAAGCAACGAATTTAATTTGTGTAATAATTTAATCAAAACCTGTAAATGATTAGTAT